GCCCCCGAGAAGCGGCGGCGGCGCCAACCGCAGCCTCACCCCCGGGCAGAGGCTGCGGCACCAACACCCCTAACCCGCACCCCTGCCCAGGCCCCATGCCGCACCATGGCGAGTGAACCTCCTTCCGCCGCCGCCGCGCACCAGCCAAAGGGATCCGGGCGGGCGGCGCGGGCAGGGCGGCTGACGTTCCGCGGCACGGCGGTGCCCCTTGCCACCAGCTTCCCTGACTCAAGCAGCTTCGCTTTGTGATGAGTGTGGCTTTTCTTCCCCCTTATCCCCCCCCGAAAACAAAGAGAGCACGAGCACAAAGGTGCGCGTTGGCCTGGGCTGCAGAGCTGCTCCAGAGCCGTCTTAACGCAGGCTTGTGGTGGGAAGTCACCACCCCAGACCATGGGCCTATGGAAAATGATTGGTGACTGTTCAGCTCCGAGCATCGCAGGCTCATGAGAGACACCGCCTGTAGGCCTTGTTACGTCTTGCTTTTCAGGTGCTGATAACTTTTTTCCATCGTGTGTTTTCATTCATTTCTATAATATTAAATGAGAAGCACTTGGAGACCGGCCCTCCTTTGGTTTGGACCGCGTGGCTTCTCACCAGGCTTTAGAAAGGACTTCTGTCCCAAGACATCCCTGTTCTTGCCAACTTTGTCATGTAGGCTGACAGACTTTATCCCTTCCTGTAAACCTCACCTCTCTGGGACGCTGCAGGCTGTGCAGCCAGCTGCCCCCCGTGAGGAGGTCCTGACACCCATCAGCGGGCTGCGTTTGGTCCAGCCCCACTTCTGCAGGCACCCACCTTACACCTGTGAAAGGACAATAAAAATAATTTTCCAGACTGAAGGTTATATTAAGATGGGATGTTTTCTTTTACTGTGCTGACCCACCAATCTCTACCAGTGGTATAAAAGATCTGCTTCTAAATGGCAATCAAAAATTCATGGGCACCTGCCTGTGCCATTATTTTTGCACAATAATGCTTAATACTGAGTTATTAAGTAGTAATTTCATAGAATCATAGAATCTTTTGGGTTGGAAGGGACCCCTAGAGGTCAGCTAGTCCAACCCCCCTGCAGTGAGCAGGGACACCGTGAACTTGATCAGGTTGCTCAGAGCCCCATCCAACCTGGTCTTGAAGGTTTCCAGGGATGGGGCCTCCACTACCTCTCTGGGCAACCTGTTCCAGTGTTTCACGACCCTCATTGTAAAGAATCTCTTCCTTATATCTAGTCTAAACCTACCCTGTTTTAGTTTAAAACCATTACCCCTTGTCCTGTCAGAACCGGCCCTGCTAAAAAGATTGTCCCCACCCTTTCCTTAGGCCTTCTTTAAGTACTGGAAGGCCGCAATCAGGTCTCCCCACAGCCTTCTCTTCTCCAGGCTGAACAAGCCCAACTCTCTCAGCCTGTCCCTCATAGGAGAGGTGCTCCAGCCCTCGGATCATTTCATGACACTTCTTTATTTCACGTTCCCTGTGAATAGCTGTGAATGCAGAAGTGCTGAATAAAAGTCCTTTTTACAATATAGTAATGCCTTGAGTTTATATTTCTTACTGAGATATAACTTCCCACACACATAATTCATAATTTCTCTTAACATCTCTGTGGCACTTGTCAAAGACTCTCAGTGGGCTAGGGTCACTGCTATTATGTTAAAATATATTCACTTTTATAATTGATCTGTGAATTGTTCAGGTTAATGATGTTTTTCTTTGATATTATTACAGATCAGGGAATGTAGTTGACAGCTCTGAGTATTGCTGGGTAATGTGCCACCATTGGAGACCTGCTGTTCTTCAAGCTACCAGAAACAGTCAAACATGTTTGTAATGTGAAAATGTGTAACAGCTCCAGTATTAGAAACGTAAAAAAAACTAAACGGTGAGGTGTCAGCCAAAGCTTTCTTACTACTTATCTGCTTAATTGCTAAAAACCACAGTCATTGTCTCATAGCATTGTGTAATAAATGTAAATATGTAATAATAATGTAATAATATTGTAAAACCTGTTCCTGCACTGGAAGTGTTTTTTTTTAATGTCCTTCTCCATAGACCTTTCCCAGGATGTCACTTCTCTTATGCTTAAAACATTTTCTGATGTTCATCACAAATATATTTGTAACCAATTCATGCCCACATGCATTGTGCGTTCCTGTGCTGGCATTGTCCTTTTATCTTGAATAGTACTTCTTTCACCCCTGTCTGTGAAAAAAAAGTGGAAAAGACTGTAATTTTCCTTTAAAAACTAAGAGTCCAAGTTCTTCTAGCTACTTAAGTGTTTTGGCAGAAAAAAATAGTAGAATAGTAACTCACTGATACAGAAGGTGTCTCACAGGAGCAGGCATGCTTTTTAGTGGAGTATGTTCTGCTTCCAGGAGACAGGGTCCCATACAGACATGACTCCTACTAACATCTTCCCACTTGTAGTTCTATATATCAGTTCTCTTTCACTTGTCTAAAACTGGGGAGGCAGTACTTTGCTATCTATTACTAATGATACCTGAAAATTGTATCTGTTCAAGTTGGGGACCAAATATTTAAAGACATATATTCATTGTAAAGATTGCCCTTCAACAGTATTTGCCCAAATTTTTTACTAAAAGTAAAGCATGATTAGCTCGAGCAAAGTTTTCATTCAGCTTATAATGGAACACTTCTTATTTGTGCACTTGCAATAAAACTTTCATAGATTTACAGAACTGCTACAGAGGGCAGTGATGGTGGCAATTTTTTTTAATCTAATAACTTAGGATTCAGCAGTCATAACAGGAAACTGAATTCTGAATTTTAAATCCTCCATCCAAGTAAATAGATTGAGAGTTATGCTGTCAAATAGCATGGGAATCATAGTAGCAAACTAGAGAATAGCTCCGGTTTAATGCTGTTGAAATCTACATGAGACCAGCAACCTATATTTAACTGGGGGTTGCAGAAAGAAGTCTATTCTGAAAGGGAGTTAATGGCGAAATCAAATATAAGTCAGACAATACAGTAAAATGACAGTGAAAAACATTTTGACTCACGAATTCAAACCAAAGTTGAAAAAAGTAATATTTGGATTCTTTATTCATTTGGATGAACAAAAATGTGGCTATATTTTTGTCTGCTAAGAAAAAACAGTGATGAAGAAACAGCATTGACTGAAGACTTTCCTTTTAGACAGTTTCCAAACTTGCATCACGGCCATGTTGTGACTGCAGCCCTTGCCTTCCTTCAGACTCCCAAATGCAAATACAGGTACGAGCACCTGCTTTCCTGTTGGCCTGGTGTCTGCGCTCGCAGCTGCGACAGCCTCACGCAGATTAATGTCCTTAGCTTGAAGACTTTAGTGTGTCTGGAAATGTCAATAGCTACTCTATGTCTGGCAAAATACCACAGAAAAACTATTGTGGTCTCCATCTAGTTTTCATTTCACAGAGATATGCTGGGTGGGAAGCAGGGGGAAGCGCATAACTGCCTTTCCTTCTGAGCTGGAGGATGTGGTTGGGACACACATTGGAGCTGAAAGGTGCCCACAATGCAGGATTACCGAGACTCATTCTACCAAACCGAAGTTCTTAATTGGGACATTAAGAAAGAAATGCAGGCTCTGTAGATACTTGTACCTAATGGGCAGCTCCAAGGGGCTATTCAGCTGGTCTCTCACCATTGACTATAATGACACCCTTGGGTGATGATGCATCTAATTTGATGACCTACTTACAAACCAAAAACGATTCAATCTAAACATGCACCAATTTTGAGTCCAATCTTGTTCTTTAAATAGTTTTTAATCTGGAAAAAAAAATGCTGCTTATTAATATTTCAGGGGGGGGGCAGGACAGACACACACCACAGGACACAAGAATCCAAATTTGGCATGTTGATATCTGAATCTTAATTTCATTTTTTGCATTCATTTTGCCAATACTATTGCAAATGCATAAATTAAAATAAAGGGATACCTGGCTGTGACTGTCTTTCTTAGTGTCCTGTATCAATGAGGCAAAATAAAATGGGTTTAGTAAGCACAGATTAAATATTCTTACATCCAAACCCAGATTTCATATTAAATCCTAGTTACTATGAAATATCACGTCACAACATGATATAAAGCAGTAACTACATTATGGTACTTAGGAGACAGTAGCCATACAATTCTGAGGAGACCCCATTGTAATGGCAATACCATTTTTTCAGAAATTCTGACATGTAAGAATTAGATCAATGGACATGTAAGACTTAGACCAATTTCTGAATATTCTTGAAAATCTCATTTACAATGTTATAATTGCATTAATTAGAATGGAGGTTAAAATTGTGGTTAGCTTAGTTTTAGTAAAATGCAAATTTCCTGAGTTGAAGGGAATCAACCAAAGGTTAAAGCAATTAACAGCTGGGATTAGAAACAAGAAAAAAAGTAATGAGCAGGGGAAACTACTTCAGTGAGGGAAGAGCGAGCAGTCAGACATAGCTTTGGCAGGATCTGCCTTAGTCTGAAATGCATCTGTAGTAGAGCTTTAGTGGAGAGACACATGTAGAGTTTCTTGATTATATTCCATGCTATCAATAAGGCCAAGCAATACAACAGAAGTAGAAAATTGCAAAGTTATGCTTACAGTTGTGGGTTTTTTTAAGCTAGTCTGTCTTGCATTTGTGATTTTCATATGTGCTATCACCTTAATGAATGGAATGTATAGCCACATGATGGTAGACATAATCAAAAGCACACCACTAGCTTTAAATTGTGTTTGGTCTTATATTGTTTCACTTAATATAAATTTCTTGCAAAGTTCCTACTGAATGATACGCTATTAGGAATGCCAGTTTCTTTCTATATATGCAGAGTTTGGATCTGCTCACAGCAGTGAGGACATGAATGGAACTGGTATGGTGTTGTTCCTGGGATTGTTTAAATATAAATAAACCAGGTATCAGTAAATCAATAAATCAGGTAAAGCTGAGCTCAGTGTTGTCACAGTTCATTCACTGACTGAGCTTCAGCAAATCTGAGGATGCCTTGGCTGGGTTAGAGGTACACCCTGATATTTGCTGTATCCTGATTTCATAAATACAATGCCATTTGCTTTTAATTTAGCCAGGTTTGTGCTTTGAAATCAAATTCCTATCAATTCCATGACATTTTTTAAGTTTACAGTTTACAGATTGTGAACATCTTTATCTGTGTAGCTGAGGTAGCATTTCTAGAAATTTGATTTCAATGACTCAACAGAGCTTTAAATGAAGGCAAGAGAGCCTTGTTTTGAAACTTGTGGTTTTAATGT